GAATCCTATGTCTATCAAAAAGCTATATGCTTTTTGCTTAACGCATAGTTTCTTATCACAGCTCAGCTGTGTAACTGCAAGCGTAGACTCATAATGAAGTTCCATGTGAGGAAAAGATGCCTTGATTGGTCTTTGTACACAAATGTCTATAAATGGTAAGACCCATAGTGGACTTTTAATACACATTGATCACGACACTCTATTTAAAACTTAAAGAGCATTCTTTCAATTCAGAAAAGCTTTTGGAAACAAACAACTGGTCTCACAACTGATTGCCAGTTGTCATGCTCTAGGAGTATACGCTTTCATTTTGCCATTTGGAAACATGAAAAACTAATATAAACATACACTCAAGGATCTCAAATATCCTTAAACATTCTCTTTCTAGGAATAGTGAGAAAGCTTTCTATATATATTAGAACTCTAGATACCAAAGTGATTTGAACACTCAAGAGAAAAAGATAAATAAAATCAAAGTAAAATACTAATTCCACAGGGTCCCTCAGATCGAATTTCTTTTGTGATGAGCTCTATTGACTGAGTGAGCACTGAACCATTGGTAACAAGGGTGCAAGCTGTTCTCCCACCTCTGCTATGTAAAATATCTTCTCATCATTACACAAAAATCACCATCAAACTAGAAAACAATTTGGGAGAGTTCATGGCTTTTGGAGCAACCCACAGCCAGTGATGCTGTCTTGACAAAATATAATTATCTCCAACCCTGAGGTGCAACTACAGGAGAGCAGCAAACAAGCCCGGTAGTATTGTTTCAGGAGAAGCACAGTGAAAGCTCTGCACTTCCTCCAGGCCTCCGCTTTCTTCCTGAACGAACTCCAGGGAATGGCATCATGTCAGGTTTTCCAGATGGATTATGTGAAGCCATAGCTCAATGTCATTTTCAATAGGAAGCCTCATAATTAAAGGTCAAATAGTCACTTCATCTGCAATCAATCAGGAGAAAAACTACTAATACGAAGAACTAATCTATCAATGGCAAATGCGCTAATAAAAGCAATGAATCAAATTCAGCATGTGTGTAGATGCAAGTACATTGAAGAGACTGAGACAGGGCAAAAGCAAGAACAATAAAATAAATTTCAAGTGTATGTACAAGAGAACTTTCAGAAGGCTTCTCAAAGCCAGAGTTTTCATCTTCGCTTCATTAGTTACCTGGGTATCACCGGGCCCACAATAATTTATTCTTAAATACAAATACTGGATATAATAATAAAAAGTGTTATTTCATAGGGCTTTCTTAATGTATTCTATTTGAGATGTTATGTGTGTGTGTGTGTGTGTGTGTGTGTTTAAAATCACTAGAAGAAATATTTTGACAGTGATCACAAAAGGGATAGATATATTTTCTACATGCCAAATAGATGCATTTTAATCTGTTGTGTTTCATCTTGAAGTAAGAGAAATATAACTCTGAGTGATATTACCTGAAATTTGCCCCCTGCTTTCTGGAATATGAATTCTTCACACTTATTGTGATGTTCTTTCATTGCTATGCAGACGAGAAGTTCCATTAGGATAATTATCGGCCTGTAGCTCAGGTCGCTACCAGGCATATCCTCTGTACCAGAGATGTCAGGTCACCAGTAGACAGAAACATGAATTGGATCTTGTGAAAACTGATACACTAAATTTATAGGGCTTAACAAGTCCATTCAAGCAACAGGACCCAAACACCCCTTGCTGTATGTAGAAATCAGGGTGCTCCTGGGACAAGGGTGATCCGTGCCATCTCACTGAGATAAGGAAGCAGCAAAGAGGTCATTTTTATAAATGCTACCTAGGAGATTGCAGGCAGGAAGTCAGGTCTGATCCAGGCATGATAGAATAGCCTAGCTTGAAGTAAAATTCCCTAATCTAAGAGCTACGGAAACTGAGGCCTGGGGATGTCTCAGTGGAAGAGTCAGGATGAATATTTAGGTCTTGCAATTCCAAGAAAGCATAGGTCTACCACGTTATGGAAATAACTAAGGATTTACACTACGATGGTTACTTAGATACCACATTAGTATTTTATTGGAGGACCCGAGTATATATTTCATGGGTGAACATTGCAAAAGCAAAGTGCAAAAGCAGAAGTCCAAGTGAACCCAAACATTTTTAGCACAACAGCTACTTTTGATCGATGTTCAGAGCACCTGTTTGCCTGAAAATTAGAAAGCATCAAGGACAGAAGGATATGGCTTTGAGATTAAAAAAATGAAAAGAAAATAAGAAAGATAGGATGGGTAGGTATTCTGCTCACAGAAAAGAAAAGCCCGGTGCAGTATGCTTCTCGGGTAGAGCTTTGTTCACCATCGCCAGCTCCAAGCACAGGAGAAAATCATGGAGAAACAAACACAACCCATTTTGGTTGTCCTGACGAAAGCAAATCCTAGGGGTGGGGCAGGTTTGAAAGGCCACTGCAGAAATGCGGAAGCATATGTGGTGCAGCCAGGACTCAGCATCTGCTCTAACGACACAGGCTCATTTGGTCCCTGACTCGTGACCTCTGAGGTGCCTGGCAGCGTCTGCCTCTGGCCTCCCTACCTTTTAACAGCCCCTTCCTTTTCAGGAGACCTGGAGCACCGGGCATCACATCACAACGACCGCATGAAGGAGGAAGTGCAAGATGACTTCTCTGAGGTCAACAGTTAAACCACACCTGTTACATGAACATCTACAGGACTGGGGTCAGGGGACTGGAACCCTGGGAATGGTAATACCGTCATAACCAATACAGTTAATAATAACTAATAACAGCTGCTACTTTAAGGGTATGTGTTATGTGCCAGGCAGCACACCAGGCTCTCTAGGTGGGCACTCTCATTTCGTCCACAGCAATCCACACACAGCACAATTACTGAACACATTCTGTCATGTACTGACTTGTATTAGGTACAAGTCCTGTGCTGGGTACTTAACAAATTTTATCTTTAATTTTTACAGCAGCCTTAAGAATTAAGAAAAAGTAAGAAAATGGCTTACAAAGTGAGAAAGCTAAGGTTCAGGGAGCTTAAGTGATTTGTCCAGGATCACAAAATCAGGACTGAAATGTGGCTTCCAAAAAGCTCTTTCAAATTCTATTTGGTGATGAGTATAAAGAAAACCTAACAGTCATAATGCAACGTATGGACAGTATATATATTTTTTTTCTTCAAATAAGCTGAACCCTTAGTTAGCAATTGCTTCTTTAAGAGTATGTCCAATTTCTAAATCATTTCCCAAACTCTGCAAGACTAAAATAATTCTGTCAGACAAATATGTTTGGGGCTAGTAAAACCATTATGAAATCTCTTTGTTTCCTAGTTTACAGACTGAACTTTAACACGAGCAGACTTAGAGCAATGTCATTCTCTTTAGTCAGTCACAGGTCAAAGTGTAATGGAATCTTGAAAACTAGTTTTACCACAATGTGCCTACTACCCCAAGGAGTTTGTTAATGATGTATATTTCAATAAAGTTTCTCATTACTTAATGACTTTTAATGAGTAGAAACATGGATTCCAGATGTCGGGACAGGTTATTGGGATAATGTCATTAAACTGGATAAAGCTAAGTAGAAAATAGCACTTTTCTTCATCTATTTTTGTCCATTAAATATGTACTTATTTCATTTTAGGTGCTGATCAGATTGAGTTAATGATAACTATGTTGTGTTTCTTTATAGAAATAACGTTCTGAAATGAATTTCAAACTAATGTCAATATCAAACTAGAGTAATAACATTATTTCCACCTTGCTCCAAGCTTCCAGAAAATATAAGGTGACATTTCCCAGGGGTCACTCTAGAGCCTTCCAAAACCAAGTTTGTGCTCATTGCACCCCCCGCCCCCAACTACACACCCCCAGACTTTTAACATGAACATTCTACACTGAAAATCTTCGATGAGAATCGAAAACATGATTAAAGATAAATCCTGCACTATTAAATTTAGCCCCTCAAAAATGGGTTCAGTCCAGTGATGGTATTTCAAAGCTATGACCCATCCTCACTTTGCTATTGTTCTTTAGGACACAGAGTGGAAAACACCCCCATTCCACTTAATTTGAAGAGTTGTTTGAATTTCAAAATCATAAGATGCAATTATCTGAGGGTAATATTAAGTTGGTTTTTAAGTCTGTGGGTCACTTACCCAATGTGAGGGATTTGTGTGTAGAACAGAACATGACAGCCACAGTGTCTGCTGGTGTGAAACCTGAATTATTCCTAGTGGCAAAAGAAAAAAGTGTTTTACAAATAAAAAGCATATTTAATACATCCTCAATCAAATGTAGTACCTACCTTTGTGCTAACATTCCTTTGATCAGTCCTGGTGACAGAAGTAATTCTATACCCAAATGTACAGAAATGCCCAAATTTCTTTTTAGAGAATAATTTCTAAGTCATTTATCAATGAAAAGGAGACAGTCTTAAAAATGTGTGGTGGAGGTCTTCTAAAATCACATATGTAATCATCTTGTGGCACAAGACTTTATAAAAATCATGCAGCAAGGAAAGTTAGCTCAGTCACTAGGCTATCACTTGGTTTTAACCCAGTGGCTTGAAAAGAGTTAATGTATTTCAAAAAGGCTTCCCTCAAGGAGCAACACATCCCTTTGGCAGCAAACAACGGCCTTTGAGAAATACACGGTATGAACCAAGGTTTAACATCATATGTTTTTAGTAAAAATAATAAATTACCAATTTTTGTCCATTACTATGTATCAGGTATTCCCTTAAGGTCTTTGCATATAAAGATAAAAACCCTATCAGGTAGGCAATACAATATCATTATTTACAGATGAGAAAACTGAGGCACACAGAAGTTATGTAACCTACCCAGGACCCCATAGCTAGGAAGTGAGAGAGCCAGGATTTAAATCAAGTCTGGCTCCTGTGCCTGCGCTTAACTGCTATTGTTTTATTGTTATATAATATGTTAAGGATAAAAAAAATCTTGCGTAGTCAAAATCCATTAAATGTTATGGGGATCAGTACTGGTGAATATCATATTCAGATTTCCTATTTTAGATCATAAAGATTTAGAGAACCAGGAACAAAAAAGGTTAGAAATGTAAGTAGTATTATTGCATCCTTGATATGTTAGAAACTATTCCTTCCTGCAGGATCAGTGTTTGAAGATATAGTGAGTCTGTTCATTCCCGCCCTGAACTCAGACAAGAGGGCTAGCAAACGGAAAAATGTTCTAGAATCCGACTGCATGCATACAGTTGTAGATGTAACGATCTATCCAGTTGTCAAGGATCTCTAAAGAAAGAGACCCCACCGTTTCCCTTAGTAACCTCATCCTTATATACAACTTTCACTGGGAGAAAAAGCTTCCCTCAGCAGATCCCACATCCTGTTTATTTGTTATATACTCACTGGAGGGGAGCAGGACCCTCTCTTTCCTCCACCACCTGCTCCTCCGTACATATGTTAAGAGAATATTTAAATTGCCCTTTAGTCTCCTCTCCTTCGAAAAATCATGTAAACTCATGCTTCCTAACCAGTCTTACCTGCAGCCGTTTTTTTTTTTTTTTTTTTTAATAACATCTTTCCAAACTGAATTTTTGGTGTCTCACCTCAGTTGAAAGAGAAGGAGGGAGGGAGACAGAGAGAGAGAGAGAGAGAGAGAGAGAGAGAGAAAGAGAGAAAGAGAGAGAGAGTATCTAGAGAGGATGTTTTGGTTCTGAAGGGGAGGATGATCTCAAGCTTGGCAGCGGGGTAGGGGATGATGATGAAGCCTGTAGAGAACTTCTTGGAGGAAATTACAACTGAGCTGGGCTTTAAAGAACAGGTTTAGACATGCGCAGATGCGGATTTTAGGTAAGGGAGAGCAGAACAGAAGCATGAAAGTGCAGGAGGCAGTTGGCAAAGCGCAGACTCTCCAGGCTGACTTGTGTGCAGGGGCACTCGCTCACGTCCAGGAGCGTGGACTCCATAAGATAGGATAAGGGGAACTACTGAAGGACATGGGACAGTAGAATGGCATGGTCAGACCCGTTCTTAAGGAAGAGTCGTCACACAGCCCAGTATAAGGCTGAAGTTGACGAGCCCAGGCAGGGAGCAGAAAGCTATGAGGGCCTGAAGAATCACAGTGAGTACAGGAGCTGGTGGTGAGAGACATGAAGATAGAATTAAAAGAACTTGTCAACTGGTAATTTCTAAGAAATATTCCCTCCTAACAGCTTAAGAGCACAGGCAGTGCAGGAAACACACTGGAATTTAAATCCAGACCATCCTTTTGCTTGGATATAAAATGGGGATAATACTGTCTGCCTCTTAGGGTCATTGTGAGGATAAATGCCAATGTCTGTTAAGAACTGGGCACATAGCAAGTGTTTAAAAATGCTAGTTTAGGGCTTCCCTGGTGGTGCAGTGGTTGAGAGTCCGCCTGCCGATGCAGGAGACACGGGGTCGTGCCCCGGTCCGGGAAGATCCCACATGCCGTGGAGCGGCTGGGCCCATGAGCCATGGCGGCTGAGCCTGCGCGTCCGGAGCCTGTGCTCCGCAAAAGGAGAGGCCACAACAGTGAGAGGCCCGCGTACCGCA